ATGGCATGAGCGGGATTCGAACCCACGATCTTCGGCTTGATACGCCGCTGCTCTACCACTTGAGCTATCGTGACCTCGATCCACTCGGACACCAACTTCCCATCTCAACCGCACCTTTTGAATTTTCCCTCCCTTTTGGCCCTTTTTCAATTACTACGTTCGGTTACTACAGACGTTATTTGTTGAATTCGAGGCATTCATATTATGACTGCAGATTAGGTGATACGGGTTCGCAAAGTCAGTCAGTCACCTGAAAGGGCCACTACAGAAGTACGTACCTGAAAACCAGAGAAGCTGATTTGTCCATTGGGCTTTTGTCAGACTTTCTTTGTCGGGTGTGGCCTCGGCTATCACAGCGTGCTAAGTAACTTGGGCGGTTAAAAAGTTTTTTATTCGAGAAACGCCGTACACATAAACTGTTTAAAGAAGCAACACCAGGATTCTGGCTTCAGCTACACTTATTAATATTTCATGATAGTATAGATAGTACAAGATTATTTAACATCTTGAAGATTCGCTGAGACTACGTTGTGTGTGAATGATGAGACTTTAAATTTCAAACAAACCAACAACCTGTTTGTTCTATAACAAGAAAGACCTCAACTATGATCGTTTTATGCTCATACGTTTACATCAGTAGGTCCACTACACACGATGTTTTGCCATGGATAAAATCATCCTAAATCAAAAAAGAAGAGGCATTCGATTTCTTGCATAATATATAGGAGATAGGCTTTCTTTTTTGAAAAATGATTAGTCACTGTTTCAAAAACAAAGAGCTAAACATTTGGCAGAATTTCTGTAGGTGATGATGTGAAAATCACCAAATTCTTATAAAATGTGAATTTTTACTATTAGCATTCGTTGTTTCAAAATAAAAGATAAATAATTGAGATTCAAATAAACAAACTACATAACAACAAACGTAGTTTCTGTTGTCACAAAGGTGTACGACTGCACACGAGGAAACCAATTAAGCTGTACCGACTCATTAGGGTGAGATAAGGAGGTGATAATTTAAGCATGTGTGAGACTTTGTCAATGAGGCGCTCGCCGGCAAAGGAAAAACAGGAAGAGATTTAATAGGTTCGGAAAAAGGTCGGTTCGTCGGCAAACATTGTTAAAAACTCCCAATTACAACTTCATTGGCTGTCTAGGGGGATTTTCGACATTCCGGCCTGACAAAGTTGAAGACGGATTTAGGTTTAATTAGTTGTTCCTGGATAATTCTTGTTGGTTTTACCAAAAATAAAGCATATATAGCAAATTCTGTCCACAGAAACAAAATTTATGGTAAAAAAAGAAAAAAACAGCTAAGACGTGGCAGATGGTCTGGATGGACTTCGAAAAACAGAGAAATGTTGCTGTAACCGTAAAATTTTTTAAATTACTTTTCCCAAATTTGCTTCTGTTGAACCATTGCAAAATAAAAAAATAAGTTATAAACTTTCGTAAATACCTAACTAACTGTATTTTTTAACGGTCTAAATTTCTTTATTTGCATAAAGTTATAGTTTGTATTCTGAATTGTTTAGAATCAAAGAAATTCCAATATCTATGATGGTAATTTACGTTAATACAGTACAATATAAAAACTTTCTTTCTTTCTGACTTTCTGTTTCTCTGTCTGCCTCTCTCTCTCGCTCACTCACTCGTTCACTACTCTCTCTTACTCCCTACCTTTCATTCTCTTTCACCCTCCTCGTTGTTCATGTGATATGTTTAATAAATTGTATTTGTTAAGGTAATCTTTATATTTAACCTTTTAGATACATGTAATTGGAATGTCAGGTCTGTGTCAATAAATAAATCTTCAGCTCAAAATAATGACACATCTCCACATAGAAAATAATGTCCAAAATCATACGATCCCACTGTTTTATTTTTTTACTTGGACCTCTACTTATTAACTGGTGGTCCTTGTTCTCGACTGTCAGTTTCACACTTTGATTTACAATTATATAAATAGGCAGAGATAAACAGTGGTGATCAACCAGTTGAAAATAATTGCGCCAGTTGGACGGCGACAAGTCGTATATACGAAAATTAAAGGAAATCCAGAAGAAGCTGCCTTTAATTTAGTCTCATCTCGATTTATTGATGAAATGTAAAGAGCGTAAACTTGGGCGGCGTATTTGCGTATAACGAAACAAACCGCCCACAGTGTTGTGTATCGGCGCCTCTCCTTTCATCCTCTATTAATAATTTTAGTAGGGTTACAATAAAGATATCCAGCAGTCGGCAATCAAATATTTTGCTTTCTGAATAAACCGTGCCTTGGGTGAAATACGACCGACACTTTTGTAGCGGTCGAAGCACTGACTCAATAAAACGACACTAATCCAAGCGTGTGCTGTAAAATAGTTTTTGATGGCTTCAATTAAACTTAAGGGTTGAACATTAAAAATTATATTATTATCATTAATCTTATATTTAATTTAGCCACTTAAAGATAGATTTTGTTATTATTACGTTGGATCAACAAGTTAAGACCACCGGAAACAGTGGATTTACATAAGAGAGAGAAAGATAGATAGAGCAAGTACAGCGTGAGAGAGAAAGAGAGAGAGTTGTTAACACTTTTAGTGACTGTTAAATCTAAGAAATTTATACTGTTGTTGTTTTCAAGCTTTGTACGAAACTAGCTTTTGTCAACTTTTCTAATACAATAAATTAATAAAGTAGCAAAATTATAGTAAAAATTATATATACAGGGTGAATTGCTACTCGTGCTACAAACTTCTCCAGTAGATTCTTCACCCTAAAATGAACAAAAAAGTTCATATTGTCCATGGTCCGATTCTCNATATATATAATTTTTACTATAATTTTGCTAATACATATATATATACACACATACAAACACACACACAAAATCAATGCGACTTTATTATGGCCGCTCCCGCCGCACTAGTGGCGTTTGCACAGCAGAAATGTATGCGATTTGGCGGACGCGGCGGCTAAGGCCGGGACATCTCAACTTCCGGACTTAACCATCGCGACCCGGCCCTCTGACGCTAAGAATGCAATAAAAAACATAATTAAAAGAAGGTTGCAGAGTCGGTGGGCCGGGTCGACAGAGAAGTTTGTCACGTGTAAAAAGCACTGTCGATGGGTGGCCCTCGGAGGTTATGACTCGTAGAAGAAGGGTCATCCTCACGCGATTAACAATGGGCCACCAGTTGTCACACGGACATTTACTTTTGGGCCAAAGCAGGCGTATGTGTCCGGCACGCAGAGCAATGTTGCTCGATGTGTCCCACCTAATTGAATTCCTTGGCTACAGTTAGCGAGCTCGCAGGAATGCCAGCCGATTTGAGAATTGTGTTTAAGCAGGGAGTATTTGGGCCCTTGTTCCGATTCGTGGAGGACACAGGTCTGTTCTCTTGAATATAGTAATATTAGCGGTGTATATCAAGCTTGTGTTGAGAGTGAAAGTATTTATTAGCGTGAATGTGTGATGTGATAGGGTCGATGAACGTACGTAGTGATGGGTTTAGAACTGCATGCGTTGGGTGCTAAATAGACCAAGCTGTTGACAGCACCACCCCGGTACTACTTTATTAATTCGTTATATACCATTGCATAACCTTATTATAGAAATATTAAGAACAAGAGTTGATGAAACATAGTTTCCAGGGGTGCGATATACCAAAAGATCACCTCAAACTGTTTCCTTTCCCCCAGTTTGGTTGGATCTTTGGCTATTTAACCCCAACTAAAAATGTGAAGAATTCGATAATTCCCGGTAGTCACTAGGCTCACCATGTGAAAATTGAAATGCTAATTTTCTTAATTGATTTCCTGAAAATTTTTAAAAACTTGAGTTAATTCCTTTCTCGCCCATTACTCTTTGATTTTTAATTATCGCCCAACTACACGTCAAACAAAGGGGTCAAACATTTTTTTTTCCAAATTCTTATCAATTAAAAATCCATGGGTTATGCCGGGATTCGAACCCAGAACCGCTCTCAAGTACGATTCGGATGCCCTAGCCGGTCACCGTGGTTCCCTAAAAAAGTATTTATTTCTAACATTTTTGAGAGTGATTTAAAAAGAAATTCTTAAATTCCTTAGACACAACCGTATATAACACCTTGTTCAAATCGGATATAATCTCCAATTCATTGCACTTGAGAATGCTAGTAATCTGAAAGGAAACAGGTGCAAAAATTCTCAATTGTAAAGTCCTGGAGAAATACACAAACATTTATTTACATACTTAGTGAATTAACTGATAATGATAAATAATCTATTTAATGTAGTCACAAAAAGTTTTATCATTTTTAATCTTGATAAAATAAACGTTAACTAAAATAAAACATGTTTAGGAATCTATAAAGCAGTGTTAAAAATACAGCCATCTTTTTGTGAATCAATACTTCTGAATAATCTGTATTTGTAAAACTGGGACATTTAATTTATCACAACTTTTGTTATTGATCTTATCTTGGTTTATCTTTGAGTTATAAATTACAGTGATACTGAAAGAGCAAGAAAAAAAGCTGAGAATAGAAGTCCAAGTAATTTATAACAAATCAAGTAGGGCCACGTTGGTCCAATTTACTAAATTTATTAACGTAAAATCTTGTAAAATGATGAAAAGGATGCTTTTTTAAAAGCCTGTTGATTAACAATGCTAAAACAAGTATTTAACGTAGCAAATAATGTCATTTTAACTTAGAAGTATTATTTATTATATGAGTTGAAACGTATAGTTAAAAATACACGAGTAAAATTACAATCTCTATCATTTAAGCAAGTGTCAAAAAAGCCTCGGTTGCATAAAATGATAAAAGGTACAGATAGGGTGGGTAGTTTATCTATGTAGACAACTACCTGACAACATTGGGCCTATTCATTCTAGGATCTATTTCGAGCCGCCAGATTAAGAGCCGGCTTGTAAACGGGTCGGTAGATACTGGAACTCGTTTTAAGCGGGGACCAAACCGTATTCTAAAAATAATTATTTTTTTATATTTCAATTGACTCGCACTCACCGGTCTGCTGGGGGAATTTGACGGTCTCGCCGTAGTGGTCGTGCTTTTCGGCCAGGTACTGCGCCGGGCTCCCTGGGTTGTTCTGAAAAAGAAAAACACATGCGAATCTCAGTAATTGAATGAAGAATTCCAGACAGGAAATAGTCGGACGAACGGAAAGGTATTATTTAAACACGTGCTTGATACATCCACGGCTACAGGGAACACGTGGTCTTCATTAGAGTCGCTTATCTGGCCAAATTGGACATTCTCCAATACTGGCTCCCCCATCTGTATCATTGATATTGGTAATATGTTGTTTGACGTAGGCTGTTCATTTTTTTCTCTTACAGATTTTCAAATAAACAATTTAGATGAGAAATGATCGGAGCTTCATTATAATGCAATTAAAGAAAAACGTAAGTTCTATTTTAGTTCACGCCTCCATCTTAATGGCTTTATAAATAATATTAAACCAAGCAAAAAAGCAATTCAATTATCGATAAACAAGCAAAACTAATTTTACCAATAAGAACTCCGCTATCGAGTAATATATCCTCTTCACCAGGAAAAAATTTATAAGGTTGACAGATACGAACATGTATGTACAAAACATGTATTTGAAACTCGTGGGTTTCAATGTAATCCAATAATAATTATTAATATAATACTGGGTGTCCCAGTTCCTTCTGACGAAACTCAGGGAATCGATTCTTCTCTTCGTTGGGAGCAAAAAATGCTCAGGAAATTTTTTTTGGAAAGTTCTCTATTTTGAAGATATTCGTCAATTTAGGTTTTTTCAACTTTTCACTACCTTGCCACATAAAAACGCTTACAACTTCCAAAATGTTGAAACTACAACAAATCCAATTACACCATTTGAAAGAACGCTAAATTTGCTGTAAGATACTTCTTTGCAATAATCTGAATGACATAAAATATTAACCAATATCAGTTGGAACATGTCAAAATTACAAAATTTAAAATTTTGGTCATGATTGCACGTTCTACTGAGGTTAAAAAAAAATACCTACAACTTGACAAATTTTACAAAAACTTCTTCATCTAATATGCTCTACGTTGATATATCCAGGTTTTAAATAACGTTCTAGTACAGTTGAAAAATACCAATTGAATGTTCGAAAACGTGAGCTAAGGTAAATTTGAAGTAAATTTTGTAATTTTGACATGTTCCAACTGATATTGGCTAACATTTTATGCCATTCAGATTATTGCAAAGAAGTATCTTACAGCAAATTTAGCGTTCTTTCAAATGGTGTAATTGGATTTGTTGAAGTCTCAATATTTTGGAAGTTGTAAGCGTTTTTATGTGGTAAGGTAGTGAAAAGTTGAAAAAATCTAAATTGACGAATATCTTCAAAATAGAGAACTTTCCAAAAATTTTCTCCTGAGCATTTTTTGCTCCAAACGAAGAGTAGAATCGGTTCCCTGAGTTTCGTCAGAAAGAACTGGGACACCCTGTATATATTTTTATTACATAATTTATATAATATTATATATATTTATTTTTATTATTGACAATTAGGAAAAGATGAATCCAAAACATCTAACCAGTTCTAGTTTTATAACAATGATATATGTATATACATAAACAGCTGTGATTGATTCCATTCCAAATCAGTGTGCATTGTATCGGAATGCGCGCTAATGGGTCAGCGGTAAATCAGTTACACTTTAACAGGTTGGCAGCCGGTGATGTGACCAATTGCAATGGTTGTAGATCATGGCGCAACTAATGATTTGTAGTCGGGACACTTCTGTAAATAAACCGAACAGCAACCTGGCACGGTCGAGAGTGGATACTTCACACTTTTTTTAACACGAAGTGGATGAATTTAAGGCTAAAAGATGAACAGTTCTATTCCAATGTACAGATATTGAAAAGTATTGTCCAATTAGCACTACAAAACAACACTACAAAATTAAATTAAATGTTAACAGTTAAACAACAAATTTGATGATAGCATGAACAGAGTTGGAGACTTTGGACATTGGATGGTTTATCGGTTTCCCACAGTTATATGCCGTACGTTCAAATTGGTTGTTTTGTGGATTGTAAGTTTGTTTTATGTCGATAACTTGGATAGTCGCCCATTAGGCTGCGTGTGATAGAATCAACCCAAGCGTGAGCTATGAAACCAAAGGTAACGAATACAGTAAGACTTTTGGATAGGAATATATTCCTTGTATATTGTAATGAGATTATCTTCGGAATGTAAAAAGACATGGACTTGACAATGACAGACAAAGCAAAAAACACATGAAAGACAGGACTTTTTTTGGAGGGGGGGATCAGAGTATATAGGTGTAGTCGGGACATCTGCGGTATAATGGATAAGTAGATTGGTCCAAGCCTATTGCTTTGAGATGCACCCGCGCCCAGCCTAGAGAGAGTGAGCAAAGATTAAAACAGAGAGAAAGATAGAAAAAAGAGAGAAAGAAAGATGTAGATAAAAAGAGAGTGGAGCAGAAAGAAAGAAAGGGAGGAAATGAGAAAGAGATAAAATGTAATGGTTAGAGAATAAAAAAGAGAGGGTAAAAGAAAGGAAAGGAGAGAAAGAGAGAGAGGAAAAGAGAAAGAGAAAGAGAGGTAAAAAGATAAAAAGAAAGAGATATAGATAGAAAGAGAGAGGGGGAGAGTAATAGAGATAGAGATTGAGAAAGAGGATGTGGGAGGGAGAGAGAGTGAGAGAGAGAAAGAGTGTGTGAATAAAGAGGAAAACGAAGAGAGAAAGATAGGTAGAGAAATAGAGAGATATAGATCAAAAAGGGAGAAAGAGATAAAAAGAAAGAGATGTAGATAGGGAAAGAAAAAGAAAATATAAAGATAGAAAGTTAGAGGTAGAAAGTGAAGAGAGATAGAGGTCGAGAAAGAAGAGGGAGGGAGGGAGAGAGTGATAGATAGAGATATTGAGATGGAAACAAGGAGAGAAATAGATAGATATATAATAAGATGGATAGTTGGATTAGATAGTTACAAAGATAGATAGATATTGAGATAGATAGATAGAAAAGATAGAATCTTCAATGTTCTGTTGGAACATCACGTTCACCAAAAGCCTATTTGCATTTCCAAATGATTTGAAATAGAATGAGAAGTACACACATGAAAATATTTGGCTTGCATAAAAACACACTTTTTCCTGCAACTAGAAAAAACAAAACTATCAAATTGTCGGACAACAGCATTAACCAGCAACTACAACTATACACTATGTAAGCCTAGTGTTTTTTCGATGCTAAAGTAGAATAAACTTCTGCAAACCATTTGTTTTTCCAGAAAATACAATGAAAATAATACAATTAATTAAGGTTTTTTGGTTGAGATAAAAAATTCAATGGCACGAGCGGGATTCGAACCCACGATCTTCGGCTAGATACGCCGCTGCTCTACCACTTGAGCTATCATGACCTCGATCCACTCGGACACTAACTTCCCATCTCAACACCACCTTTCTGAATTTAATGAACATAATGTAATCCCGTTTTTAGGTTAAAGTGGAGGAAGGGCAGCGATCTCACCGAAATCTATCCATCTAAATAAAAAATATTTTTATGAAATTGTGGTTTGGATGTATTCAATAACATAAAAAATGCAAATACTATATTACTATTTATAACTTATCAATCTATTTTTACTTAATGATGAAAGAAAACATATTTATACAAACGTCATTTTTATCCCTACAGAACTGATTAAAGGTACTTGCAGTATATAGTACATTACATTCGACGACTTCGGTGCTCCATCCGGAGAGGTCCGAAATATTCGATCTTACCAGTGTGTAAAGCTAAGCAAATAAAAACAATCGCATAAAAGCTATATTAAAAAAAAATATCATTTTTACTTAAGTATGGTGCATAGTTACGATACTATAGAATGTTAAATATAGTATGACAGTTGTTTTATTGCAGCATGAACAACTAGTGTACAGAATATTTTTTTCTTCTAAAAGGTTTTCAATTGGTATTTCTTAGATTGTTGGAAAATCATGGTTGTGGTGTCTATTGATTGATGATTGAAATTTATTTTAATGTAAGAAGAAAGAAGGAAAAATGGAAGAATCTACTGCCCAATTTGTAAGTTTTGTTTCTTACCGTAGGTATATTTTTATTCAAGCGGATAATTATTGTATTTGAGTTTATCAAACTTGGCTGTAATCTTGGGATTACACCCACTTCGTTTTTTATCCTGAAGTAATATTGAAAAGAAATAATGGAAAAGGCGTTACCTCTCTTTGTTTACCCGGCATATTCTATTTATTGAAAACTGTCAATCTTTGCTTTTCAGCGAATAAAACGAATCACTCTTGTCGCCGACACGCGCCGTCGGATAAACGAGGCACAGTATATCAGCAAGCGGATACCGAGACGGACTTGCGGAATCCCTTTGAAACGAGAACAAAGGCGTCCACTCATCTATATTGATGCCCGGTCGTATTTTAGGACATTATTTATTCACTCGGTAATTTTTCACCCTTTGTTTCACTATCGGGGGATCAGGAGTAGCTGTCGAATGCTCGCCAAGTTCCGACAAGTTGGACACTTACTATGTAGGTGGGCGGAGGCGTCCTCGGCCTCGCGCTATCGGAATGGAGGATGTCTTCGAGAGATTCGATGTATTCGATGGCGTTCCTCAGGATCTCGACTTTCGGCAGCCGCTGGGTCGGGTTAGCACTCGTTCTCCTCTTCAAAACTTCAAACGCTTCGTTAACCTAAACAACGAGATTGATATTAATTAGAAGGTTTTTAAAATGAAAAATGCTGAATTAAGATACAAAACATGTAGGTTAAGTTACTAAACAAGGAATAAATTGTTCTGTAAATCAAAATATATTAGTATATGTATAGTAAGTTTAACATTACGTTCTTGTTAAAAATTGCATACGTTATATTTTTACGTATTTTCTTTCAGCCGTACAACAATTCCAACTATATTGAAGTGTTCGACTTTTGATCACTTTATTGGGTTCATTTACTTTCCCTGAACGACCCGTTTGAAAAATTTGGTTGAAATTCGGATCTTTAGGTGGAAAATATTTTCTAAAATAATTGCTTGAAGTATCACATTGCAAGTTATAAATATTCTTATTTAATTTCGGCGTGAACCCAAAATGCGTCTGATATACCAAAACAGTAAAGAAAAAAGAATACGACGATTCTCAGACCTATTTTGAGCATAGCAGAACATAAAATTGTTTTCAAATTTCCGTTATGTTTTATCTTGAGCGTTGACAGGAGATTTGAAAAGCCTTACAGATCAATGTGATGACGAATGTTTAAACAATATTATGGAAAACAAAATAGTTTCTCGTCAATAAATTTATTGACACCCTCAACGTCAATAATCACTTTATATATTTTGGCTGGTCAGAAGCATTTCGGCTTCTCGCCATCTTCAGAGCTAGTTTTGTAGAAGGTGGATGGAGTCGGTCGACGTTATCTTTGCCTGTTGATTTCTTTGAGGGTTAAGTCTGCTTTCTGATTGTTCTGGTCGGTCCATGTGATTTTATGTTATATTCTATTTTGTGAGATGTTGTTTTTTGTATTCATAAATTTTTCTTGTTGTATCTGTCGTGTATATTTCTGGGTTTTCAAATATGCTAATTTCTCTTAGGTTTTATACGTCATACAGGAATTTCATCCCTATATGTATTAATCCATAATATGTTTCGTTGGAACAAGTTAACCAAAGTAATGATTTAAATTTGTTTATAATTTTTGTTTAAAGTGAGGTTGAGATTAAAATTTAATATCACGAGCGAAACTCGAACCCATAGCCTCTGAATGTTTGGTATATATACACTTTGCTAAAAGCTCCGCCAAAAAGAGAGAAATTAGAAACTTTGTTTGGTTAAGATAATGACTTGTTGACCCGGAGAACCGAAGGTTGTGGGTTCGAGTCCCGCTCGTGACCCTAATTTTTATCTCAACTACCGTTTATATAAAAAATAAAAAATCAATCCCAATCTGTATTACTGATGGTTTCGAGGGAGTTTTCTGCATTATATTTTTTTATGTGTCTTGTGATTGATTAGGCATTGAAATTATTATTATTATAACATACATTTATTTAAAAAAAAAGGAAAAGTACATTGTTTAAAAACATTAAATATTACATAAAATGTCAAAGGGTTTCTGTAGGATCATTTAAATTATTATATATCACCTTTCTTAGACGTCTCCTCTCCCTCAGTGTTGCCGCCTTCCTCCTGTCGACGGTCACAGATTTCCTTTTGCACGCTTTACAGGCCCAGAGGAGGCACCGCCTTTCTGCGTGGTGCGCTTGAGGGGCGAGGACATGTTGCTCCTCGCAGGATGAATCCTCTTCGTCGTCGCATCTCCTTGAACAGTACGGACCCATTTAATTAAACCGTTTCGAAACGAAGGGGCGTAAATCTGAGACGATTCTAGTCTTACCCTTTGAGATTTTTTAGCGCAATTATAAAAATTTATTGCCTTATAAATTGAGTTAAAAGGGAATAACGACTGGGACAGTTCATTAGCTCGTGGGCAACAAATCACGGGACGCGGCGATTAATGGTTCGTGTGATTAGTCAAGTGATCTGGGATGCGTGAAAAAACGTATGAGCCAACTATTTAATACAGACAATATGAGAAAAGAAGGCTTTCTCTGTTTTCAAAACAATAGAAATCAAAGATCAAAAGATGATAAAAGTAGCCACTTCTATTCTGATTTCATATTGTTTTCTGCCTCTTTAAAATATTTTTAGAGTCTCGCGTTTGATTTAGGTGACTTATTATTCGTTGATTTCAACCTAACATCTTTTGTTCTATTATTTATTCTATACTAAAAGGAAAAATTAATCTTCTGAGACAGCATAAATCAGCTAAAAACAAGCAAAAGTAAAAATACTTCGCTTTATAAAAAATTCACTAAGCATTCGTAAAAAATACATTGAGAATCTTGATAACCAACAGTTCAAGAAATTTTGGTTAAATTTACCTTAAATATTATTGAAAAGCACGTAAAACATCTGGTAGTTTAGGTGAACAATTGCAAATAATAGGTCATACCTCGTCTAGCTTCTTTGTTTTCGGTTTGCAAACACAATCAAGCAAACGAAATCATTTCTTCCAATCCAAAGTCCTCAGAATCAAAGTCAACACTAACTCCCCAAATACTCTTTGTGAACAAATTAATCCCCACCGAATTTTTTATGTTCCACGATGAACTCTTCATTCATACCAATCCACTAACCTAATCTACGTTCAACAAAATCCATCCCTTTAAGTCAGTCAGACAACTTAATCTGAGATGGCCCCGGGACATCCTCGCCAAGGACTAGCGTTTTTGTAAAGTTGGAGGCCCAACAATGGTTGGTAATTTCTCTCATTGCATAGTTTATTGTAAATATGTACGATATTCCATAAAATTAGACGGTAATAAATATTTTATTAGAACCAGTTATTCATCTACTGCATACAATACAATTGTTTTATTAAAATATCATTTTTACCTTACAATGATTGTGCAGTTATCAATTTTGTTTATTTTATTTTTTATTTATTGTTTCGTTATCCGTTTCATATTGAAATGTTAACATCAAAATGGGGTATTACAGCATTCCTCAATAGGTCGAGTAAATGGTTTCGATTATCTGGGACCACATAACTCCAAATAAATTATATGCATACTCTGTTAATTTGGGGGGGGGGTTTGATTAGAAGTGAAAACTTAATATTTTTAATTGGATGAGAATATTTTCATGAGAAAGAAAGAGAACGGAAAACATAGACAGATGTCATATTTTACATTATATATAGGTCTGAAAGCTGAAATAATTTGTCTTCACATCAGCAGGACTCACGCTATTATTTTTTAATAATCCGTGCTCTAAATTAAGATTCATTAAAGTACTTGTTGGAAATCCAATTTTCCACTTAAGTAAACTCCCTTTGAACTGTTTTTCGACTCAGAAGTCGCTTTTAGATCATTAGAAGTGTAAAAATAAGAAGCAAATCAAATCTCACGGCGAAACAAAAAATCCAACATGAATTTTCCATTAACTTTATTTAATTCACTCAATCTTAAAATAGAATCGTCCTTCTTATTCGAGATTGAGCGAGAGCGTTGAACAGGTGAGTAATAATTCTCGTATGTAACCGAGCGTGCAATTTTTTTAATATTAGAAATTGTAATTACCCGGTTATTTTATGAGGGGGGATGTTGTCACCTTAAATGCACGCCTTTTTTCACCCGACTCTTTTCTACATATAAAAAACGCGAAATCTCCCTACAATCTGGAATGGAGGCGAATTTAATTGCGTTGTCGGAAAACGAAATAGGGCCAACTAATGACGCAGAAGTGGCTATTTTCTATCCCAATATAGATTTGGATTTGACCCTGCCGACTTTAAATATTCACGACTCTCATTAGTTTCGACCCGACAAAAAGGTGGTTTGGCATATTTTCAGTTGCCAATATTCTAGTAGCAAACTCGTACGTATATTATATGCCTATTTTTACAAATGGATAGAAAATAGCGATAACAAACACTAACGAACGATTAAACCACCATAGAAATAAATGCAATCAGATATACAAGTCAGAATAGTAAGTGAGAATATACAAGCCAACAATCCGGCCGTAAAGTTCATTCTCTCTTTATTTGTCATATGTCTTTTGAGTCTTCCTCAAACCGCTCACTCTCTCGCTCTCTCTCTCTCTCTCTCTCTCACTCTCTCTTTCTTTCTCTCTCTCGATCTATCTATCTATCTGTCTATCTATCTATCTATGTATGTATCTATCTATCTATCTATCTACATATATCTTTCTCTCTCTTTCTCATTCTCTTTTCTGTTTCTCTCTCTCTCTTCATCTCTCCCTTCCACTACTACTAAAAAGAAGAATCGCATCAATTGATCTAAACTATTATCATCATTAGAATTCCGTCTACAAATCATCCATCTTCGATATAGGGGTGTAGGTGTAGGTGTAGATGGATCTAGTAAGTGTAAAGACATTTGTCAGACCAAAACAGCGATGATAGGGAGACCAAATTGACCATAAAAGAACATACTACACGTAGCTAAAACCACCCTGTAAGTGACACAACGACGGGGTAGTTGATAAAGCACTAAAGGTATCTTTTTTAGAATGGAAAGGTCTTTCAAAATGAATGAAAAAATTAACGAGCCAACTTATTAGAATTCTACTAGCACCAGCAGATTTTTGAATCTGAAGTGAAAAACCATACTTAGTTTTACAATAAATTAGGCAGAGTAAAAATAAATACCATTCTATATAAAATTAAGTTAGACAAGTTTATACAGTCCAGTTTTAAAAATAAATTGATTAATAAAAAAATTAATTCCATACGATTCTCGTTTTACACCCTTCAGTACTTGCAATCTCATGTTTCTTAAACCCCATTATTAAATGATTCATCATCATCATTTAAAACTAGTTCTCAGAAAGTAACAAGCTTTACAAATGAATAATGTATTCAACGAGTGGTGGGCAGAAATACAATTTATTTACCAATACCAATTATCATCTAAATAACTTAATAGTTGGGTGCTTTTTTAAAGGTATTTAACGCAATAAAACAATACAAATAATTCCTAAATTGGTTTATTATTATTATCTCTGGAAATAATTGTATTATATTATTGTAATTATTATTATTGTAATTGTATGAAACATAACACTGTTTCAGAGTCAGGTGCGGCAATGAGTTCTCAAAAGTGAAACAGACACAGGCCGGCGTACCGCAAGGGTTTATCCTTGGTCCTATCCTTTATGTCATTTATACTGCTGACCAACCAATACATCCTGACACTATTGTCAACACCTACTCGGACGACACCACAATCCTATCCTATAACTGAATCCTATCCAAGTTACCTCCAACATCCAGGAACACCTTGAGTTATCGAAGACTGGTGTAAACGAAGGAGAACAAGACTGAACGAAGAAAAATGCACTCATTGTACTTTTACGCTGAAAAAGTAGTCTTGCCTTCCATTGTACATCAACAACAAAGAGATACCATTTTCCACTCCAGTCAAATACCTGGGACTATATATCGACAGAGGTTTGACGTGAATCCCCACACAAGACTTAAAATAAACTTAATACAAGACTTGGACTACTACGAAGATTTCTAAGACCGAAAACGACTTTGACAACTAAGACAAAGCTACACTGTACAAGAATTTACTAAGACCAATATGGATAAACAGAGTGGATCTGTGGGGTACTGCAAAGCCATCCAACATCTAGCGCATCCAGTCCTTCCAATCGGAAGTCCATAGACAATTTGCCAAAGCACCTTATTATGTCACTAACCTCACTATCAACAAAGACCTCAACATTCCTTTTGTCAACGAACTGATCCGGTTCAGAATCCATACCTTCCACACCAACCTTTCGAACCATCCTAACCATACTTGAGCCCTCCCAACTCATTCCCATCCTGACAACCGTCCATGTCGCCTCAACCGAAGGTTGCGTCGGGACCTCCGTGACATCTAATCATACACAATGAGTGCCAGCAATGGCTGGCTCCTCAAAGCATGTGTCCTACCGGTACAGTGCTGGTGCATCGCATTAGTGCTATTGTGTGTGCTGTTTGATACATCAATCACGTACACATATTTGCATAGTAAACGATCATGTAATTATCATCAGGTAACACATAAATTTAAAAAAATTTAACATTCAAAATGCAAATATTGAATTACAACGCACATAGTAAATAAATAATATATATCATTATCCTAATATTTTAAGCAATAAAATAATACTCAAACTACAACTTAGGTGGGGCGTTAAATGATATGAAAAAATATTGCTTATCCCTTTATTAATAATATTATCAAAGATAGCAGAAACATAAGGATTGCCTTCCTAAATAGTTTTATGGACTGTACAAACAATTATACTACTTTTTTTAATTAAAACGAGATATTAATTATTTTATTACAATAAGTAATTGTTATCGAATTAGTTAATTATTGACTAATGTTATTTTCTTATATACAATAGAAAATACGGTAAAGTTATGTATTAAATTTTTTTCTCAGCAAATCCCAATTTATTACGACATAAATCATACCAACCTAATGGCTAATCTGTCATCAGCGTCTTCATTTTTATGCCAGGGGCCAGTTTCGCTCCCGGAAGAAGTGACGCTACTCCTGCCGCTTGAGACGAGATCTCCACCCTGGGGGCTTCCGGTGCTCTGAAACATTTGAAATTTAAAAAAAAGGTCATAAATACTAATACTAGTCCACTAGGATGTTTATGATTATTCTATGATGGGCGGATTCCCCTCGGCCTATTAGGACCTGATTTAAAGCATGTTACCGACATGCGAACCAGCGGCTACAAGGTGTTGATCAACTTTCTTTTCGTGCCCATACGTTTTGTCAGTCTAACGTTGTGGGACGTGTGTTGCGGGTGCTATAAGAGTCTCGCATTTATCACAACGGTGGACGTCCAACAAAAATAAATCCCAGTGTTCTTTTTTTCCACGCCTCTAAAGAGTATTTTATATTTTATTAGGCCGAGAATAGCTGACATATTGGGCTGTGAACGTTCTTAGTAGGGGTCTTTTAATGTTCCCCAAATAACGCTAATGACTCTCATTTGCGGCTTTATTGATTCGGCAAATAAAAAAATTTGCTTTAAATAAATCCCCGCTTAGCTTTTTCAAAACATTAATTTTCTTGTCTAGGCTGTTTGCATTCCTGACACGCAAGCATTCACAAATCTGTGATTGTTGAACTGAACGACTTTGACATTAGTAGGTCCGTCTGGTCTTATTGGTTTACATTTTACTCATACGAGTTTCATTAGTTTGAACAGTTCCTCTCTGATGATCGCTGAAAATTAATGAAAGGTGATGAGAAGAGTTAGACTACAACATGCGAGAAGTTTTTAGAAGTAATGAGGATGAGTTATTGCAATAGATCAAATGGATAGAAAATAAAGCTAATTACATCACACAAAACCGTACATAATTAATGATCGAACAATCATAACTAGTCTATAAAAGTATACATAAGCTGGAGCATAATTAATGAATGATTTATACGACAGTTTGTTTAATGCCAAAAAATTGAAGAGCGTGAACGTGTGTAATTTTAGTAAATTATCTGGTGAAATTCGTTGTTCAAAAGTACTTAAATTATGTTTGGTCTACTCTAAGTTTTTTTTCTGTTCTTCAGCCCTGATTTACACAGAATAAACCGTATTAATTAACTTTTAATAAACGAGAATTATTTAAATGCGTACGTTTTTATTTTTTTAACCTCCTCAAGGGTCAGAAGAAAAACGTATCGCATGTGTAAATTAGAACCGGATGATACCAATTTTACATACCATAACGATTTGTCTGTGGTGGGTCTTCACTCCTGTCCCGACGGATTTCTAATTTGGGATAAGAAAACGGATTTTACTAATTTCCGTTTATGTAATTAATAAAGCAGTGCATGCAATTGGAAGCAGGCTATCGCTATAAAATGTATAACTTTATAAATACCCAAGCGAGTCAGTTAAAAATAAAAATGGCTGTAACAGTATTATGTCTAATTAAAATGGAAATAACAAGACGGGGTTTCTGATTTTTAACTCTATGAAACATTGTGAGAGTAGCCATGAACCTAAAGAAACCGAAAAGTGCAAAAGTATAATTACCAATAAAATAAACTACTTTTGCTAAATAACGAAGTCATATCTCGTGGTGTCGGTGTTATTAAACAAAAATCTCCAATTGTAAGTACTGTAGCTTTATCCATTTTTTTGCCTTCCAGTTTGGCACAATTTATCGCTTGAGAGAGGACCTGTGAGTCCCGAAATTTATTCGATTTTAACAAGAGAGCTGGCTGTTATTTTCCTTACCACCAACTGAAAGCGTGTTGGGTGTATTGCCTAAATTCGAACTCGAGAACTTTACCTTACGGGGGTTGGGAACCGTGTCGACGCCTTTACCGTTGCGGCCACCGATTCTCACATGGGTAATAGAAATGCCTACATAATAAGTAGATCTTATTATCATATTAGACCTGTCCTTGGCATTGTTGGAACTGAATCGGCCTTCAAGGAAATTTGAGATCGCCTGTAAAAAAAACTTAAATATCTCAATCTGTAGACTTATTTAAGGTTGTTTTGCAGTGATGATGACCTCAAAATGGGTCGAAAGCTTGGCATTAGCAACTAAATTTGCTTTCTATTTCTTCAAGACCACACCTGGATCCGTTCGTAAGCGAAAAAGTGGTCGATACGTCTAATACTGAATACATAATGTGTGACCGACCGCCTTACCAAAGGAGGTTAAAATATTTTTTTTTTTTTATAGCAAGAAACGAGATTAATATTTGTTTTTCTCAAGCTGGAAAATCCCTGAACTGTATGTTAAATTAAGATCATTAAAATTGGACCTTCTCTTCCATCAATAACTCTGATTTTTTTGTAAATCACAAAAACGGTGAAAACTTTGCTACTACTCTACTGATCAACTGAAACCTTTACAATAATTTATAGCTTTATAACCTATGGCACAAAAGTGGCCTCCTTAAATGAATTAGAACTGGGGAAATAAAAGGTTTGAAAAGTTTTCTTAGATTTTATCTCTATTTACTTCACTTATACTTTTCCGCTTTCCAACAATGGACAATAAACGTTCAATTCTGATAAAATTCATAATTCCTATAAATATTTTCTGAACTGAACGTTTATTCAATTGTGGTACACCTGACATCAGCGGAAAAAAATTGCATCCAAAAATAGCAATTTTTATTGCGATAAACGTTTATATTAAAGAATCCTTAAAACGAATCCAAATCATTTTTTTAACTGCTTTACTGCAAACGTCTTTTGGTAATTTTTACGTTATTAATCTCATGTAAAACGATTCTGCTTATTATTTTCTTATCCTGGATTTAAAATCAACGACTGATATGTAATAACCCTGAACTACATGCACTACAAAGGCGGAAAAAAAATTGATTAATCACTAAATTTTCTTCTCAACTCCGAGTATACACGGAAACGTGTGTAATACTTTTCAGCCTAGAACTACCAAAAAAGTGTCATTAAAATCCGTGACCCCACGTTCGTAGCCTCCTTTATTTCAGGTGGACGAAACTTTAAATATCAATTTCAAATGTGTGGTGATTAGTGACCGTTAATCGATATTTATTTATAAATCGTGAGATGCGGTCTGGTGTGATGTAGGTTTCAGAAAAACATTTTCTTTATCGTGCCAACGTTTCGATCTTTATTGAGATCATCTTCAGGGCTCAAAGTGTTTGTATTCTGTGTAATTGTGCCTTTCTTGCGTGTCGTATCGAGAGTGCCCAATTTCAAATGTTAAATATGACCATCTATTTATAATTTTGCGTCCGGAATGCATTGATCATGTACGATTATTTTTTCAATTTTTGAGATCGTCGTACTTGAAACTGTACAGTTAGTCTTTTTGAGGGTCTGTATTGTTCAACAAGTCGAAGATGGAAGTGGTATAGATCTTGTTGATTTTTCTAAATGGTCCCATCTCTGATGGTTTTTATATTGTTAAGTGATAATAGTGCATGTACACTATTGTACTCATAGCAAGAGGGTAGTTGTAGTATTCAAAAAAGAGGAAAAAGAACAATAGGGTAATTATTGGACGATTACGTAATCTTTTTTTATTATTTGAATGAAATGTTCACTATATAGAAACTGTAGGACATATGGAACATATTTTTCTAGTCTATTATTTGTGATTTATGATAATACAATGCTGTCTAAATTTAATTATTTTTCTGCATTAAGTTAAATAAAGTGTCTATCTATTATTTCTATCCAAGAAGTCAAAACAACAATCACAACAGAGGAAAGACTAATGGATGAGAAAGGGGAATTTGGTTTTTGGCAAAGAAGAGTTCCCTAAATCAGGAAAGTTTCCATATTATAATATATGGGCTGGTGCGTGCGTGCATCAGATGAAGATAAAAAGGGCCAAGAAACTCTTTTTTGAACGGTGCCGTTTCCGAAGATTAAAATACCCGGGCCCGAGTTCCCGTCTGGTTTCTGGGTGCTACTCACTTATGTCCGTGGAAGACGAGCTGTAATGTCCCGAGGAAATCAATGGCCGTCTCACCTGGGCACATCGGCATAAATAACCACGAGTGGCCTGAGGCCAACATTAATGATATATAGAGTAAATAATGCTTGGAGAAAGGGAGCAAACCCTCACCTTCCCGACCCGACACCGAAATTATTGCCCACCGTGAAAATAGAAGTCTCAAAACGGCACCGTATATATATTTCACTTTTTGCCCTCTTTCGTAATTTGATAGGAAGCTATTCCTTGTGGATAAACACCACGTCTATATTTGAAATAATGTATTTCGACCTTTTAAGTTATGGTGATGAGGCTCGATTTGGCAACCTTACTTCTTCTTAAGACGTGTACATAGTGAAAGCATTTGTTTTCAAATTTGATTTCTTAATTGTACATGACGTTCTGGATTATGAATTGTTTCATGTAGGACGCCAGGTTAAATTTCTAATAAGTTGGATATTTTCCGACCGGATTTTTGAACTGCCTATTTTTGCTGCTTTTGTCTGACGGATGCGTCTCGGAGTGCCCCCATCGAAAAATAAAGAGCTACGTTTTTCTCCGTTTGGTATAAAATAGTCAACCTACTTAAAAGTATTTGCCTAACGAATACATTTTTATTTTCTATTTTGATTGAAACCCTCCTCCTTACCCAACATCATTGAGACCCTATACTGGCGAACCCACCATACTCTAAACTTATTTCAAGGAGCACATTTTTCGTTTTTTGACTAAACTATTTCCTAGCTGACTGCTGAGGAATTATAATTAATAATGGTCTTAATAAAAGAAAGATTTTAAATGAAAGCCAAATGTGTATTTTTCTTTTAAACAATTAAATAAATGCATAAACCTATAAATAAATAAATAGATCATATATCTACTAAATATTTAACAACAATAGCTAGATTGATGGGAGAGAAAAAAACGAATTCCCTCGCACTACACAACTTTCATCTAGCTCGTTTGAACTTTCTTACTACGATATCTGTCCCAACCATGTGGAATGTTCCATTTTCTTGTCTTTTACCAGTCTTTGTATTCCTGGTGACTAACATAGAAAATTTGCGTTAGCAGCTCTCTGTGATTTTTGTAATGTGTACAACAGAATAGGACACATTCCATAGCCTGAT